AGTAAAATGTCCATCGACTCTTTGCCAGCGGGAGACGTCGCACCGGGGGAGTCTTCGTTCTGGCTTCACTTGGAGGACGTAGCTTTGCCGGCCGACGTTGGATTGGTTTTCCCCATCACGATCCGCTCGAAACACTCGTCGATGTAATCTGCAAGGGCGTCGACACTTTCTCCACTGCTCTCCAGTTTTTGCGTTTGTTTCTACCTCCGGAATATGCGTTTGCAATAAGCTAGGCGAGAATGTATTTTGACAGAATTTCACTGAGTTGTTTAGAAGCGCGCCATGGAGTTTGGATCTGCCGACAGTCTCACAAAGTCTCGCAACACTACAGCATTCTCACGTTCTCACGGTCCTCTCAACGTGTTTTCCAGCGTGTGAAAATCTTTATTAAATTATCTTTATTTTAAGGTTTTGGACCAGTGGTTGGGCGACTCCTAGGGAGTCCTAACACTGGTTTTTGTTTCGAGAGGCGGGCAGATTCAACTGGTAAATCTCTCTTCAACTCTTTAGAGTGGAGATTTCTTGCCTTTGCATCCAGTTCGAATCCGTCTGTTTTTTCCTCACAATTTTATATGAGTGTTGACCTTTCCTGTTCTGCTTCCAGACCGTAGTCAGAAAGCACAGGGAGAGTTTCCTCCAGGGACGGAGTTGACAGTTGGCGAACAACTCTCAAGGACAACTGTGACATAAACTTTACATTCACTGCAAATTCTCTATTAACTTCTGCTAACCAGTCTCTTGCTGTGCTGCCATTTACCGCTGCACTCGTTCAATACTCTCCGCTCGCTCTGTCACACACGTTACGCTTGCACATGCACACTGCTCTATCCCTTAAAGGAGCCACACTATTTTTATAACATGAGAGTAGTCCCAGTGGACTAGTTCTCCATACAATACAAACTCAGACACTTTCACACATGAATTCATGATTTCTTTTAATAGGCCTTTTCAATACCAGGGGAGTCCGCCCTCCCTACTGAATTCCACCATCCCTGCGTTATTTAACTGTTTTTTTTCTAGCAGGCCTCTTTCAATGCCAGAGGACTCCGCCCTCCTACGGATTTGAACTTCTCTTTTAGACAGAGGTGTCCGTTACCCATGCGGAATTTAACTGGACTTTTTTCTCTCATACCTTCCTTCAAAAAAAAAAATCTTTCTTACCGACTGGCATGTCTATTCCTCTTATCCTGGATGCCGTCAGTCGTCGGGTCCCAGCCGAGGACCAGAGTAGGGTCCCGTCAAAGGGTCTATTAACTCACCTATGTGAATCAGCCTTGGCCAAGGTCTTTCACCTCGTCCGTATCACTCTGCTGGAACCGTCCGATGTGTTGGCATCCGGATCGAAGGACCAATTAAATGTCAGGGTTATGCCCCTAAACACTTTTAAACTCACTGCTGTAAGAGGACAAATAGACAAAGACACAGCAAGTACAGTGTTTACTTGATGGGGAATTTGTAAAAAGTTATTTAAATACACATAACCCCCCTCGCAAGCAGTCTGCGTAGGGCCTCCTCAGCATCTCGTGGGGCAGATTGCACCAGTAGCAGGAGATCCAGCAGCCCCGTGGAACTCGCTGTGGCTGAGCGGTGAAGGCAGGCTTGGCCAGTTGTGGAGATGGTGTAACGGCAGGTGGAGGAGAGCGGAATACGCTGGCTGCTGTCGTGGTGATGGAGTGTCTCTGCCTTCGGTCCTGGGAGTCCTCCCAGTGACCGTCTCTTACATGGGTCGGGCTCAGGTTGGGCCACGTGCTTCCTGAACCTCTCCGTTTCCTCTGACATCCTTTGTAGATGCTGAAGGAGTGATTGAAAGTGTGGGCCAAACAGCCTGTCTGGGCAGATGGGCCCCTCCAGCAACTCCTTCCTCACTCCCTATTCCTCCCTACCACAGGTTAGGGATGGCGCCTGCAGCATTGCCGACATAATCAGCGTGGTCCCTTAAGTTAGGCTCGCCGGCCATCTTGTTCAGGATGTAGGCCAGCAGCGCAACGTTGTTGGTTGCGGCTGAGGCACATGGATGGGATCTATCAGTGAACCTGGCTGTGAACTAGTCTTTGGTCTTTGGGGGGCAGGCACGTCGTCCAACATGCCGTGTAGCCTTAACACCAAATACTGAGGACAGACTTGGTTCCAAGGCTGGGACAGGTGGGAACCCGTTGTCCAAAAACCCATCCACCTTGGTGAATGGTGTGGAGGTGCTCACTGCCGCCTTAAATTTCCCAGGCTAGGCCACCGCCCCAGACTGGTAAGTAGTGATGGCTGGGAAACGGGGCCACACCGGATCCCGACGGTCAAAATGATCGTCAGAGAATCTGCCCGCCACGTTGTCAGGAGGACATGGGGCCTGGGCCAGGGGAACCACTAACTTTTTCAAGGCAGCCACTTTGCAGATGATGTCAGGCAGTTTCTGGACGAGCACGCTGATGGCCGGGAGGGGGGTCGCCGGCAACATCGGGACCCCGGTAGCGGTGTGGTGTTCCTGTGGAAGAGCCTCCAGTTCAAACAGTTCCAAGCTTGCTGGCAGGAAAGCGGGAAATGGGCTGGGGCTCCTGGAACCTTCCATCTGGCAAGAGTTGCCCGACTCCCACCGAGCGAAGACCACTTCCGTCACCGCAAAGAAATCCACGCGCCTTTGCTCCTCCCGGAGCAGGTGCAGCTTGAAAAAGGTACAGTTTGCCTGGGGTGTGAGGGCCTTTTATTTATTTATTACTTTATTTTAAAAAGGTTAATTTGTTATTTACAGTGAGCTCTCGGCGCGCACAACGCGATATCAGGAGATTGCTATCCAGAGTGGAGGGACTCGAGCAACATATTTCAGGTATATCTTGCTGTTTTTATCAAGTAATTCCCATCTATAGTTTTTTATTTATTTATTTTTATTCACAGCGACCTCCAGGCAAACGAGATAAAACATCGACAGGCTGCAGTCCAGAGTTCAAGAAATTGAGGCAGCCGTTTCAGGTAAATCTAGCCGTTTTCTCAAGTAATTCACATCTACAGATTTAATTGCTATTATTATTATTTTAAATCTATACACATTTTATTTATTTATTTATTTTCTGTGTTGCTGTAGAGGCAACCAGGAGATCAAGATCCAACGTTGTTCTGCGGAGACCCTGGCAGACCCTGCTGTGCACTCTATCGAACGAAATAGCGGACTTAAACAAGTAAACATTGTATTATGGATAACCATGAAGGGAATGATGTATTGAATGAAATGATTAAAGCAGTGAGTGATTTTGAGAATATCCCGCAAAATGTTCATATATCAGACTACTTCAGACCGCTACAAAATGCTTTGCAAAACGTGCACGTGCAATTAGCCCATTCTGAGTCTGAAAGAGAGGGGTTAGATGAAGATTCCACAAGCTTTGGGCTATTTTCATTAGAACAAGCACTCCAAACCTTAAACGGTACGCCTGCTTCACCCCGTGGTGACCATGTTTCAGACCAGCCGCAACAACGTGGTGGTCATATGATCCAGGGACATGCAGAGAGAGTTGAACAGAATCAGACGGAGTCCCTCACATCAGCCACGCCCCCACCTCCTCCTCTCCCTTCTGGCAGTAGCGGCCCTCAACATCCCATCCCCAGCAGCCCTGGGGATGGAGCCGCTGGTCAGGAGCCACCCAGGCAGCGTGAAAACTTTAATGTGATGGAGATAAGGCATCCTTTTAAGGTTACTGCGCCCTCCCGTGGTAATCTAGCTGTATTTCACGCAAGTGTGATGCATGTGCTTGTGGAGTTGGCTGACTCTGCAAGAGGAATAGCTGCACGTTGTACAGCTGGAATTAGCCGGAGGAGGATTCTCACGTCATGTGATCGTTCCTGTCGATGGCGAGGATGACGACAGCATTTTGCCTGCGTTTATGGATTTTTGGGATGAGCTTGTACAGTCCAACGCCGAGCTTCTTGCAAATAACAACCTGGAGCTTATTCTCCAGGTTGGAGGAATCCTTCTGGAGGCGTGAAACGTAGGTTGGAGAAAACGTTGGACTGTGAATTAATGAAAAGAAACATCACTTGTATCTTGTGAACAATGCAGAAAACCAGTTATGCTTTTCCATCAGCCTGGCGCATGTCAATAATCCATGTTTAACCGACAGGGAAGCCTCAGTCCTGTGGAGGCAGTGGCAGCTTATGGAAGGTTTGACTGAGCAAACGCCCGTTAACTTCAGCGATGTCAATAAATTTGAGAGGATAGTGAAGAGGAAGATTGTTGTGTTTTATGGAAAGGGCGAGAAAAATTTACTGTGTAAATTTGAGACAGACTTCCCTGACCGTTCAAACCCCCTTTTCTTATTCTTGCTGGGAAACCATTACTATGGGATAAGGAATCTCACCGGTTGTACCGGAGCAAAATACACCTGTAGTTATTGTTATATCGGTTTCGATCACCCCGAAAGGCATTTCTGTGAAGGTTACTGTCCCATTTGTCACTACCCGAGCTGTCATCTTAGGCTTTTAAGATCTGTGCAGTGCGCGGCGTGCAATCGGATCTGTCATGATTCAATATGTTTTGATAAACACCGAGAGCCTCGCCTCAGACCCCAGCTGGAAAAGTTTAGGAGTAATTGCGAAACCAGTAAATTCTGCCTGGTCTGTAAAATACTTTATCACGTCCCTGCCTCTCGAGAACTTTGCATTCACGAATTCTCGGTAAAATGCACAGTTTGTGGTGAGAAATTACCTCGCGAAGCTGATGTAACACTAAACGAGCATCAGTGTTGCATTCAGCCCTGCCCGACCGATAAGGGCCTAGACGATAAACTGATTTTTAATTTTGAATCTTTCAGCAGAGTGACGTGCACGTTCCCTTTCTAGTTTGTACCAAAACGTTAAAAGGAGTGGTTTGGTATGCTTATGGGCTGGATTGTGTCAAACAGTTTCTGCTTCATTTCAAGAGCCCCAGATACAGGGGTTACACATTTACTGCTCATAATGCACGTGGATAGGACAGCTATCTGATCCTGAGTGCCATGGTAAAGATGGGTATTACACCGTCTCTCATTACACAGGGCAGTAAAATCCTCTGTTTCACAGAGCCCAATTTCAGTCTGAAATTCATAGACAGTCTGTCATTTCTAACCATGAAACTCAGCGCCATGCCAAAAGCCTTAGGCTTTGATCACCAGAGTAAAAGTTTTTTCCCTCATTTGTTCTCCTCTAAGAGGAATTTGAATTATTTAGGACCATTTCCCCCAGCCCACTTGCTACGCGGCAGAGCTCATGGTTCCTGCTGAGCGCTAGCGGTTTGACACGTAGTACAGCGAGGTGAGCAAGGGATCATTCGACTTCCAGAAAGAAGCTCTTCATTATTGTAAGAATGATGTTGAGAATCTTTACAAGGGCTGTATGAAGTTCAGAGAGGAGTTTTTTAAGGATTTTTCATCAGAGCCACTGTATATCCCCCACGGGCTCTGTATTTTCCCGTTCTGCCTCACAAGATATCTGCGGGCAAACTGGTTTTCACTCTGTGCCGCGCATGCGCGGAAATCAACAATCAGGAAGGTCCCTGTTCACACTCCGACAAAGAGAGGGCGCTGACTGGTGTTTGGGTTAGTGTAGAGTTTTCGAAAGCTTTAAATCTGCGTTATACTGTTGCAGAAATCACTGAAGTCTGGCATTTCAAGAAACAAAGCAGCACGATCTTCAAAGATTATATCCACACCTTCCTGAAGGGTAAGCAGGAGGCCTCAGGCTACCCGGCTGATGCGACGGATGAGGAGAGCAGGCTAAACTATATAGAAGACTACAGGTTAATCAGCGGGTCCGGCTGAATCCGGACAAGATCGAGGTGAACCCCACTAAAAGAGAAGTGGCTAAACTGTGTTTGAACAGCTTTTAGGGGAAATCTGCGCAGAGAAATGACCTGGCTCAAACCACCATCGTGAGCAAACCCGATGAATTTTTCAACTTTCTGTTCTCCTGTAAATACACAATCGCCTACTTTCATTTTCTGACTGATGAAATGTGTATGATTCAGTGGAAATACAACAGGGGCTGCATTTCCCCGCCCAACAAGGTCAATAATGTGTTTATCGCCACATTCACCACTGCCTACGCCCGTTTAAAATTGTAGAGCTGTCTCGAGCGAGTGCAAGAAAAAGTCCTGTACATAGATACCGACAGTCTTATCTACATGGTTAAAGACGGGGATGCCCCCCTTGAACTGGGAAATTATCTGGGGGACTTGACGGACGAGCTGGGAGGGGACACGATTAAGGAGTTTGTGGCATTAGGACCCAAAAGTTACGCCTACCAGACCAGAGACCGGAAGAAGGTTGTAATGCGCGTTAAAGGCATCACTCAAACTCACAAGTCTAGCCAAAGGGTGAACTTTGACAGCGTTAAAGACCTGGTAGAAAGTTTTCTGCAGGGGGCCAGAGGGGGCGTAATAGAGGCCCTGCAGCGGACCATTAGGAGAGATGAAAAGAGGTTCCACCTTCAAAATGCAACATTCCAGAAAAGGTTTTGCGTGGTGTATGACAAGAGAACGCTCTTTGCAGACGGGACAACTCTGCCTTTTGGTTACTAGAGGTTACTAAGGGTTAATGTAGATAAAATGTCACTGTCCTGTGAAATGCAGGAGATTGAATTTGATCTGCGATTCAAAACTCCTTTTTCATGTATGGTTGTGGAGCCCAGCGGATGTGGAAAGAGTTTCTTTGTAAAAAGTGTTTAGCAAAATTGTGATCATGTTATGGATTATATACCTGAAAATATTGTGTGGATTTATATTTCTTTTCAACCCTTGTATGCCAAGTTGCAGAAAATGAATAAAAAATTACATTTGTTAAGGGGTTACCTCTCCAACTGATGATTATTCATGTTTTCTTCAGTAAAAGTCCACCAGCACTTGTCTTTTCGAGTCTATTTCCAGAATTGAATCGTGGCAGCAGTACACAATGAGGGTCGTGGTATGAGGCAATGGGACTCTAAATCTCATTTCGAGCCTCAAATTTCCGCACGGTTGACAACGTGTCAGCGTCTTCGAAGGGATTCAGTTTAAAGACAAACAGTGAATGTGATGCTCAGAGGAAGGTCCTTTAAATGACGGCCCGTCGCTGTAAACAAGTTGTTATATTCCCTGACTGAAACGGCATTGTTGAATTGGGGCTGGAACGCTTTAGCTGGAACTTGTCTGCCATCTTTACAGAGGGCCAAATATTCCACATCCATATGTCTAAAATTGAAAGGTGACAGATTAATCCGCCCAGTGAAGGCCTCATGATGCACCATGCCTAAAGCTATATATTTTGGCAGTCCCCAAAAAGAGATTCTCCTGAGTACATATCCTGTCATTTTCAGGGATAGAATATGTTTTAACATTTACACCTGATAAGGGATAGAGGGCATTCCCTCTCATCAGAGCTGAGGCGTGCCCCAGGCGGATACCTGGTGAAACTGATAACTTTTTTAACAAACAGGGAAGCTCCCAACAATTTCAGTCAAAGTTGAATCGTGGGCTCCCATCAGACTAAAAGCGTTGCTGGTTCTGGTTAGTTTAACCCTTATGTCCACAGAATTCTAGAGGAGCCTTTCGCAGAAAAAAATGTACACGTGATTCGGGCCCATAAGGTGCACTTCCCTGGAATTAGCTGTGAAAGAGGCTCTTCGATTTAACCCTCTGTTGGGGCCGTTTATCACAGTAACGGAGTCTAAAGCTCCTGCCGTGTCTTTGTAAAAGACACCTGCGCAGAATTTAATCTTTAATGTGTCTTCTGAATAGTTGAGCAAAGTTTCAATCATAGCTCTATAAGGATGAGTGGCGCTGGACTGGGAAATTAATCTGTCTCCCAGAATAACATCGCATTGACTAAACATTGTATTTAGCGGATAGTTGATGAGCCCCACAGGTGTGTCATCTGCCAGGTTACCTCCGTCGGTGCCAGTGATTTTCAGGCGAACGTGCAACAATGTGTCATTCCCCATCTCCAGGAATGAAAAACTTGATAGGTCCAGTATCTGTAATTGCTGATACCGGTAAAAGGTATGTGTACATCTTATCTTCAATAGATAGCTGCGTCATAGGAACATAAAAAAGATCCAATTCTGCTAAGGTTTCTGATGCAAAAGAGCCATGATTAATGATAGGCAGAAAAAATCCCACAGACAAAACTTCTCTCCGCGCTGCCTGATTTATAATTCAGATTTATAATGTCCTTGCTCGCTGCAGACTTCCTCCCTCTTGCTTTGCTTTTCTTGACTGACTTTCTCTTCTTGTTCTGCATGAGTATATGTGAACACCACACACGCTCTCCCAGGGGTCTCTTCCTGGCTCTTCTTGACAGAACCATAACTCCTAACCCCTCCTGGTTTTGCACGCCCTCATGTGATCCAGCTATTTTAGCCATGGCTTTACCTATGACGTCCGTGGCAATGTTTGAGGCAGCCTTTTTCAGATGAGGCTTAGCAATAGCAAAAAACCTAACTAAAGGTGAAACGAAACGAAATAATCTCGAAAATATGGATCCTATTCCTCGGCCGTACATCACAGGGGCCCCGTAGAAGCCGGATAGAGCGCCCCCTACCTGGCTCTGGTAGTAGTGGACAAAACGGTGTGGGTCATCTCTGAGATTTACGTAAACCATGTTTTTTTTTTTCTTGGTTATAGTCACTATTTTCTCACGCTTCAGCACGCTGCAGAGTCGTTGTCATGAATGGATGCACAGCTCTGAGTGACCCAACCTGCATTCACCCCCGTTTTTTATACGCACTGTTTTAATTTGTTTCATCTCAAGGCCTGGTGGTGCCCCACAGGTCTGAAATGCAGTTTCACGATGCATTTTCCATATGAGAATTTCACAGGGACATTCCCGTCCGTTTTAATTTGTATTTGTGTATTTTTGATGTGTTTCTTTGCAACGGGGAGGTAGTCGGGGTTATGATAAGTCTGTGTGATAATATCCCCAAACGTGCCCTCCACTTTAACAGCGCGCAAGAGAGGGGCATAAGCGTCACCGACTATCTGCAGGGCCACTATGTCGCTGTAACAGTAAAGGTGATAAAAACCTGCTTTAAAATCCATGGGGTGGGGGGCGTGCCAATGGTCCCGCCCCCCACCTGGGTGAGGAACGCCCTCTTTTAAACATCCAATAGATCAGCTTCTCTTACCCAGCTGTTGAATTTATCCGGCCAATTTTTCCAACGCACCAAAACCTGTTTAACCCCTCTGACCGTGCGCTTGTTTAATATCTCACCAACTTGATACATCTTGTCTTTTGACAATTTTACTGTTTGAAGCTCCTCTGAGTAAAAAGCGCCTTGAAAAGTCTCTCCATCCAAATCTTTGAGTTTGAATACAGGGGTCGATTGTTTTATCACCTCTGTCACTATAAAGATCTCATCTGTGAAACTCTTTTCAAACACTTTTAATGCTTGAATGATACTCGTTATTGTAGCTTTTCAGTAAATACTGAAGCACGTCGACGTATCAACGAATGTGTAATAATTCTTTACCGGCATCAGTTTGAAGTTTCTTTGGAATCTGACTCTCTTTTAAAACAGATTCAAATGTTTTTGCCACCTCAGAAGCAGTCTTCCTTTTTAAAACCCTAGCATAGGCTCTTTTGGAGAATATGTCAATAACGGTTAATAAATAATTATAACCATCATTTTCTCCGAACAAGGCCTGCATGTCACATAGGTCTGCTTGGAACTGTTTCAGCGGCCCAGTGACAAAAACTCTATTTCTCGGAAATGTTATTCTGGCGGGTTTATGCAGAGTATAGGTATCTTGTTCCGATAAAAAAAAATCTTTTACTTTCTCAATCGCTATTCTTTTACCCGTGTCACTTTGGACCCCTCGCCGTAACCTATCTACTCCACCAAAACTACCTGGATGGGCTGGAGTGTAAAATGCTCTCCTTATTAAATTCTTCCCCGCCATGGCTGTCTTCACACGTTCTGATGGAATGAAAGGGAAGGATGCTTGCTTTCGGGTTTTATTTTGTTTTATTAACACGTATAATTAAGAAACAAGAAAATGTATTAATTTAACAAGATATGAAAAAACTAATTTTTAACTCATTGACTGCCACCCATTTTCAGAACAGAGAGTCCCATACTGCCAGAGTTTTTTGAGCATTTTGACTGATTTTTCAAGAGCCACAGAATAGTTTGTGCTATGATTATGTTAACACCGAACACATCAAAAGAAAGAGTAGACTCTCTTCTTTCATCAGGAAAAAAAATGTGTTTCTACCTTATTCCGTTCTTCCTCGACGTGCGTCTCACCGGCGCCATTTCTCGCATAGCGAAACATTGCGTTTTTTTTTTTTATTTGCCTACAATCTATGCTCATCTCCCATCAAAAGTGGCACAGCTACCTAGAGGGTAAATTTGTTAGTACATACTCTGCCTGGAAGCCGATATCTACGGAAAAACTTTAGCCGATCGTCCCCCAAGCGTTGAAAAACATAAAAAACGTCTATAGACGTCTTTGGCAGCGAACGGTTGTATTTGAATTGACGTCTATAGACGTCTTTGGCAGCCAATGAGTTCATATGGAAAATAAAAACATTTGTTAACAGGATATTTTAAAAAAAACTAATTCTAAAAAAAAAAAAAAGAATAGAAAAAGATGATTACAAAACAGACATACTCTTCGGGTATCAACACCCCTGCCAGTACTCGGTGACGGACTCCAGCTGATTTAACACCTCCCTGTCTCTACCAACCAGCTGCTCATACATATCCTGAATAGGCTGATTTACCTGTTTGGTCTGACTTAATTCATAAAGATAAGCTCCGGCGACAGCGCTTACACGACTGCTGTCTTGATGAATGTGACGGGCAGTTAGAAGTGTCTGAATGGAACCGATAAAACGTGTGTTGTACAGTTTTTCCATCAAACCGAGGTAATTGAAGTAAAAAAAGTCATCCTCCAGAACATCCTTACATTGATGCTGTGTCAGACTTGGGTGATTGACTGAACAGCCGTAACATGTCTCTTCCAGGAACATTTTGATCGCTGTGTTGAGTAGATGGAGCACAGCGGTTTTAACAGCCTTGATGAATCCAAAATGGATCCATCCATCAAATTCATCCCCTCCAGCCTCCAGAGGTGGTATTCCTTGCCCGGGTGGAAGCTCTGAGTCCTCCTCCTCTGGGTCCACAATGTCCACCAATTGGGAGTGGGAAGGTGGGCTCAGGCAGGAGAGGATTTGCGTGTCTTCCTCCTCCTCTGCCTCCAGGTTGGTGATCTCCAGCGGCTGGGAAGCGGGAAGTGGGTTCAGGTTGGCGGGGGTTTGTGTGTCGTCCTCTGCCTCCAGGTCGATGACTTCGAGTGGCCGGGAAGGAGAGACTACACAGGTCGGGAGTCGCGCCTTCTCCTTATCGTATAAAACGAAGTAGGTTGGCCCGCGCTTCGCTGACGGGCGTAGTCTGCAATCACCAAGGTGCTGCTTCAAGATCCTCGTGAGGGGGCTTTCGCTCCCACTGCCGCTTTCGGAGGAAGAGGGAGCTGAGGAGCGTACCGGCGAAGGAGGATGGTACGGCCCTCCGAAGAATTTGTCGCTGCCCGGGGATGTTGATGTGGATGAAGGAGATGTTGGGGGGTCGGGAGAGGTCCCCAGCCCTCTGAAGGGTTTAACCATCTTGTTGCCTGTATCCTTCCTCATGGGTTCAAGTGTTGAGCGTCTGATCAGCGCAGCTGTACGGGTCCGAACAAACCCGCGTGCTTTTTTAAAAACTTGAAGGGCGTGGTTAATGTCGGTGGGTGGGATACTGGCGGATGTGAGGGGCGGATCAAACTGGAAGACGGGGGGAATGTGAGGGGGGTAGACCTGACCGGAAGGCGGGGGAATGTGAGGGGGGTGGATCTAAAAGACGAGTGTTTTCCTGGTAGAAACTACATCTCTCCAATTCTGACTGTTCCGAAACGGTATGGAAACCCGATCAGTTATTTCACCCATCTTGTCACGCCACGCGTCAAACGGGATGTCTTGAACACTTCACAATCTGAATTAAAACACTCGAGCACTAAAATAGCTGCTGGTGTTTTACCCCAAGCTGCTCTTAGGCTTGCACGGAAAGACCAGCGACCTGCAACCCTCTTCGTTGTCTCCCAAGTAGCCGAGAATATCCTTTTTCTTGAATCTATCTCAGTTTCATCCAGAAGAGGTAGGTCAAACCTGCTGCGTTTAGAGATGGGGGAATCCTGGATCCCATCCCCAATTTCTTGTTTCACGGCGGAGACCCCTTCTTCCTTCAGTTTGTCAAGCACCACGAGTTTCAGAACCGCTCAGTCATTTGACGTAAGCGTGGCCAAGGTATGGACTGGTTGCAACTGATCACTCCCTTCGTTTGATACAGGCAGATACAGTATCTCCGGTCCGATACTTGAACACGTACCCCCAGGTGGTTTCAACATTTTGTATTGGAAATGATCTGTCATCCCTCCGTAATCCATTCCTTTCCCAGCATGGCTTTAAGATGTCACCTGTTTTATGGTTGTGACTATTACCTTGTAAATTTAACCAGTAATTTATTGCTAATTATTTTCCCCTCAAATCTCACAGCATTTTTCCCATTTCAACCTACAGTGCTGTTATTTGGGTTGTTCTTAAGGTTCCTGTGCAAAG